CTATCTATCTATCTATCTATCTATCTATCTATCTATCTATCTATCTACCTATGGTTTTGAATAGATGTTAGCTATTCAAGGATGCCGCTAGACTCTACCTACTCTTGAGGAGTTTCTATAATAAGATCACAATATGGAGCAGAAGTGGATGAATGCTGCAAAGCTCCAAAGGACAAAATACCATGGACACACAGCATATAGGAAGGTCATTGCAGGGAGTTTCATGGATAGGACACTGGAACTAAATTACAATGAGACCTTTCCTAATGTGCTACTCTGGAATTGTGGTGGAGGCCTAATTTGTTAAGACTGTTCTTCCACGGGTGACTTCAAAAGTAAGGCCCTTTAATTCATATTGCAGACTTGCAGCTTTTAAATAACTAGATTTAAGACTGGGCAAGATGTGCTATGGTTTTTGTGACAAATTCTGGCAGATACCAACTCAAGGCTTTATTAACAAATAGCATCATAATTTCTATAAAACTCAGCGTGGCGACACACTATAATTCTCCCATTCTTGCTGGCTTCAGGGATTGAGCCCCGGGTGTTATGATACCTACGCAGCAGACATAGACTGTCAGTGGATTGATATTACAGATGTACAGCCTGGAAACTACATCCTAAAGGTAGGGGCTTGGAATGCATGGCATTTGCCATTGTAATCCAATACACTTCCTTCTTCTGGATTCAAATAGTAAATAGCCATGTGCTCGAAAGTAATTAAACACTCTTCAGAACAATTTTTAAGCAATCCCGGGTACGATTTAAAAAAAAAAAAGTTTTGGGAAATTTACACAACTTCCATTTGTAACAAATCTGCTGTGTTTAGCTACCTGTTTTACCTTAACTTCTTCCTTTTTTTCCCCCCTTGATTTAGCTGAGTCCCTTGTTAGCAATTTCACCACAGACTCTGTATAGAAACAGGAGGAAATAACAGCATAGAGTGAGTATGAAATCATTCACACCGTGTTATTTCCGTTGTTCAGGTCAGTGTAAACCCCAGCTACCTGGTGCCTGAATCAGATTACAGTAACAATGTTGTGCGCTGTGACATTCGCTACACAGGACATCATGCCTATGCCTCGGGCTGCACAATTTCACCGTGAGTATTATTTGGCAAGCCGAGTAATTTTCTTCCCAAGGAGCTCCTTACTTGATCGTAGCTGAAAGGCCGGGACGTGCTTCCAGGTTTGTCCCCTGACCTTGTACAGCCACATTACCACCGTAACTTCCTCGTTAACAAGGAAAACGTAAGGTCCGTGCTGTTAGTTTCTACAACACCAGAGAATGAAGATGCAGTAATGCTTTAATCATGCTACAGCATGGTTTTCAAGACGAGATCTAGGATGCAGTGTTTAGATGGAGAGTTCTGTGGCTGCCCAGTTCATCCTACTGCTCGCTACGCAGTGTACGTGGGCTTGTATGAGCCACGGCCATTGCCTTTCCTCTCCTTTCCCAATGCCCCCTGACAAGGATGCAAAGAATTAACAAAGTACTCTTCAAGGTACGCTTTCATGTACTGGATGCAACCTGAGTGTGTGTGTGTGTGTGTGTGTGTGTGTGTGTGTGTGTGTGTGTGTGTCTTCTATAAAGCCCTTACTTGTGTGAAACCAGCTTTTGAGTCTTAGGAGGGATCTCAGTACGTAAGTATTAAGTAGAAGTTCTTCGATGAAAAGCAAAGTAGTACAGGTTTGCCTGCTTGTTCCCTGTCTTGCCCCATTCCAGCTGCGCCTGCTTCATGGTCCATGCGTTGTTCCTTCCCAGTGGTAAGAAGGCCACTGCAGTGACTGAGCATGCATCAGCTCTGCACTGAGACTGGAGACATACTGGCAGCTTAAGGGGGCCATGCTTCCCTCACAGAGGACCCTTTCCTTGTTAAAGGAACAGAGTCCGTCTGTACTTTGCAAGCACTATGTTATTAGAAATAAATCAGGTTCATGACAGTAAACAGCTAATACTGAAAAAAGCACACTCTTCTGAATTATGTCCACAGCACAGAAAGCCTGATTGGGTCATTGGTCTATTAATCATGAAGTTAGTCTCAGCATAGATGGAGGCCCCATTATCTAAAATAATTTATCTTAAAAATTAAGTTAGTTGATTTTTTTTACGTTATGTATTTATTATTAACCCATTCTCATTGATTTACTTCCTCTCGCTTGACACTATATTTCCGGTCCTATCCTGGTATCAGGAAGCAATATAAAGATGGGTAGAATGGCTACCTTGTAGACTTACTGTAGCAACTCCCTCGGTTTTAATGTTTATATCCTTTCCTACCCTAAAGTGGCCAGGATCTAATTGCTTGTTCACACTGTGTACAAACAGCCAGGGAGAAACCTACCATCTACAGCCTCCCACTCAACACTTCAAAGAAGAATTGCTTTCTCTCTCAAGAAACATAGAATTGAGTAGACAGGCTCAGACACAGATATAGCAGAGATGTGCCATTTAAAGCATCAGAGGGTAAACAACCAGGATCAGAAGGTCCTCTGCTCTGTCTGGTAATATCCAGGTACAACTACTGACTTCGTGCTAGGAACAGGCCTGCAATGCTGACTTCTCTTCCATAGAGTGCTGTTTTCTTTGAATCATTTGAACCCATTAATTTGAGTCTATTACTGTGAAATTGGGATTCCCACTGTGGCCACCTGCCCAGCACTGATTATTTTCAATTTATCAGTTATCAACGACTGCAACTTGGTGGTAAATGCTATTGAGATGGAGTTTTAACAGTACTAGTCAGCTGGAAATATAAAGCTAACGGTAGCTAATTATTTTTAATGAAATAAACACCATCATTAACCTATGAGTGAGAAATACACACCGAGACGAGGATAACTGCTCACCTCAAGCACAGTCATACTCGCCTCTTACATTCTGACTTTCACTTCCAAGTTCAAAGGAAAGAGAGATTTCCTCAGACCAACATTGGAGAGTGAACTTATCACAGCACTTGAATTTGGCCTTGAGTGCTCACAAGGACAAAAACAGAGCTGAGGAAGAGCATGCCTGTAGGAGCCAGAGTCCTGGGCAACTGGCAGGAGTGAATTTCAGGCAGTGTTTGCAAAGGGAGCTTCCAGCTGGGTTTGTCGGCTGTGATCCCATCAGCTTCTCTCTGGAGGTCCTGAAAAACCTGACGCCTTTTGAGCGGGGAGTGCAGTGCACCTGAAGCTATGTGGATAGTCTGATGGCTATGTGTGTGTGACCTCATGCTGTCATTATTGGCTTTTTTCCCCCTAACTCTAATGACATGTCCCTGTTAGTTTAGTACGGTTTATTTTTCATGCTAGTCAGATATTTTAAACCATTCTGGGGGAATGAAAAATCCACCCAATAATTTGGTATGTTCCCTCAGTCTCCCGAGATGGCGTGACACTTTCTACGTCTTCAATGCTAGAGCTGGCCTTTCTTCTGACACAAATTGCCATTTAGAGACTGGCAGTTTATGATTTGGACCCAAGTGCATTCTTCCTTGTATGATGATCAATGATCAATATTTCAACATAACAATACTTAATTCATGGTCTCTGTTCTTATCTCTGCCCATTGCATTATGATGCCCATGTATCATTCTGTACCCAGAAGCATGCAGATAAGGAAAAATGCAAGATGGTGCAGAAGCCATGACTACGCCTCCTGGTGTTTGCACCACTCTTTCTTGTCTCATAGAATGAGCTCACCTGGCTCCATAAGTCCTGCTTGACTTTTCCCTGTTTGAATGTTTGATTTGTTTGTTTGTTTGTTTTTCCTTTTAAACATCCATTCTGTGGAATCAGGCATGCACTTCATACTATTGACATATTCTTTTCCTCCAAATCACTATTAAATCATGTTCTAATAGTAATTTTACAAGGGGACTGTTGCTGAGGCAGAGGAAAATTGCTACACCAAGTTTTGAAAAGGCCGACTAAAATGTTATTCATTGAGCTCATTCATGATAGTACCTTGCTAATAACTTGTCCCATTGTGTTCTCTTAATCCAGGTATTAGAAAGCAAGCCCAACGCCCAGTGGATAAAGCAGTACCTGGTGTTTGGAAAAATGAAAAACATACATTAGCTTAAGTAGGAAAGACTTACATATTTTAAAAGGCAAATGGAAAACAACAAAGAAAGTTTTGTTTGGACTCTTTCATAACAAATCACATAACTGGATTTTTCATGTTTAAATCAGCATTATTTGGGAAAATTTAAATACTTATTCATGTTGTTTTATGGATTGATGGTGTTTCAATTCTGTAGGTGCTTACTTGGCCCTTTCAAAGAACTCTGAATTTCTTATCTTCTCTCAAAATTATAGTGTAAAAGAGAAAATGATATTTTAATGAAGGAGCCATAATTTGAACTGAATATTTTCTAAAGTGTAGAAACCAATGAAACAACAAAGAGCTTACATTTGCCTCAACTAGATTCATTTTAAAAAGATGTGCCTACTGTGTAAACGGAAATGAATACACTTGGTGCTGAGGAATTACTATTATTGTCATGAGATAATACTCTATAGCAGAGAGATGGCGATATATGTATTCAGATAGTTACATCCCTATATAAAATTATGTTTACATTTTAAAATTGCTAGATGATTTTCCTTCTGTCAAGTGCTTAATTTCACTCCGAGTCAGCTTCTGTTTTGGAATGAGTTAGGTAATTTCAAATTCCTGTCTGATATTTGTTAATATTCCCCTTTACACTTAGTTTTTCTGTGGACAGAAATGTCTACTGTGGCAGTCTTCACAGCAGCAAACATCCTGACGACAGGTACGACATATGTAGAGCTGATGTGCCCTGCAGCATATTTTACTGTCAACTAAAATTAAGTCACTGCTGACACAGAAATTACACAACGAATCTCTAACATCACAACCATCTTTCAAATACTGCAAAAAATACTGGAAAGCCTTTTCAGATTCTTCTCAATTCTGCTAGACATCTGAAATGTTCAGCTATTAAAGGGAATAAAAAAAAAAAAGAAATTATCCATAATAGATGACCTGCTGTGTGCAACACAGGACCATCATTCTAAAATCTCCAGGAATTGGGTGTACATGTTTTCGTGTATTTACAAAATACAGCCCAAATTAGAGAAGCACATAGCATTGCATACTTGAGAGGTTGGCGAACAAGAGGGAAGCAGGTACATTCTGCAAAAACAAGGACTGTGTGCCACAACACGACCGCTGTGACCTTACTTCAAACTGTGAAACTGTGTGCAGCAGTGGAATTCGGAGACTCTTAAATTCAGAAGGTGCAGAAAGAAATCAAGTTAGACTTTTGAGTTCCTGGTGCTTACGCTGAAGTTTTCCTTCATTAACCAGCACTGTAATCCCAAGTAATGTATCTCCTGTGCCAGAACCTGTCAGGTAGACCTTTCTAAATGAGCTGGAATCCCGTCTTTAGAGTTGTAAGGGCAACAGTTACTAACCACCATACTGTTCTCACTGCTGCAGAGCAGCCAGAGGGAGCAGAGATGGGCCATCTCTAGGGGAGGGTAGAGCGGTACACGTGATTTTTATCTGCTTGAACACACACTTACCCATGAGCGAATACAGACAGAATTTTAACTGAGCTGGTATCTGATCGATGGAATTGCTTCTTTGATGTACCTCTTTGCCTTAGATGGCTTTTCAGGTTTAAGGCCGTAGAACAATCCTTTCAAATTATAATCATTCTAAAATTATAAAATAGAGATATTTTAATATGCGTGCTTTTAAAAAGAAAACAAAAACTACTGTCAGTATTAATACTGAGCCAGACTGGCATCGTAGATTTAACATCTTGCCTTTCTAAGATTCTTTAACTCTATTAAAAAAAAGTAGGCTAATAATATGGCTTTAAGATATATAGGGTATTAATTTCAATGTGACCTTTATCTCTTCACTCATCACTGTGTGAGGGACAGTATAAGCCAAGTATTTACCTGATAGACATTGGGAAATAAAATGACTGTCCCTGCTCTTAGTAAATATAAAAATCGGGCTTACCTTATTTCATGTTTAACTGCTAAAAGTATCTCTATAGAATTTCAAATTTAAACACTACTATTTGCCGTGGCCATATTTTATTTTTCAATAATTAAGTTAAAAGTTATTAATTGTATACTTGTCTGTATTTCTAATAATTAAAATGTTTCAAACCCATGAAATGTCTGCCTTTTAAATGTAATTTGGGCTTTTTGGTTGTTTTTTTTAATTAGGTAGCTGTTTATTTGTAAACATTTTTTTTTTCTTTCTACAATTTTAAAGCTTTAAGTGACTTTAAATAATGACTTAGCACTTGCTATTTTTTGACTCTTGGGCAGCTTAGCTTTCCAAATGACTAACAAGATCATTGATAATTAGATGCTGCAGAGTAATAACAGTCACAAGCTAGTCTATCCAAACTCTAAACGTTTAAAAATGAGAAATGAGAATGATACAAAGATCATCCAAGACTGGAAAAATACAACTGGTTTTTACACTGAGAAAGGCTGTGAAAGAAAAGGGAAAGCAGCATAGTCAAGTCTAATCTTTGCCTTCTATGTAGTACCATAATACTGAGACCGCAGACTCCATCTCCAGCGGGACCATGCCCTATCTTGCCTAGTTTTGTTCTTCAAATTTCGTATAATAATAATTTAACTTACAGTTTCCATCTAATTATTTTCTAGGCATTCTTTGTAACAGTGGTGTGCTGTTCCTTAAGGTTTGAATGTTAGAAACCTATGTGAACATTATTCCTTATGTTCAGAATTTAAACAAGACATAGTTCACTAAAATTCTCTCCCCATTGATCATTAATCCTCAGAAGATTTTATGAAAATACTGAACTCCTTATCAGAAAATGTTTTAGAAATAAATTTTCTAATAGTATATTAATAAAATTACGCACTTTATGTACTTTTCATTTGTGAATTCACATATACAATATTTTAAAAAATCAACAATTTAAATTTCATTTTCAGTTACCCAAAGTTCTAGCCCAATTTTGGGCACAAATATTGTTAGCCTTTAAGTTCAAACGGTGCTGAATTATCTTAACTTGAATATAAAATGCATTAAGTCTTAGCTCATGGGATACAGACATTTAATATATAACTTCATACTAGGTGACATGTCATTTGGTGTTAAATTGTCTATAATAAAGTTTTAGTTTCTCCCAGTTTTTTTCTGAATTGTTATTTGTAAAACACTTGTAACTTGTTTAAGGAACGTTTATTTTAAATGCCCAGACACAGGCTTTATATTGCATTCTCACACTCTTTTTCTTATACGCTGTAACTTCATAAGTACATAAAAGAATGCCTTGAGTAAATGATTTCAAGTGTCTAAAGTGGTCATTTGCTGTTACCTACAAATAAATGATTTTAATTTCACTTGTGGTTAAAACATTAAAGCCATGCATATGGTTTATATCCTTGTTTAAGTGCCTTTTTATAATAATTTCTATTTTTAATTAGAATATAATTACATCATTTCCCCTTTTCCTTTCCACCCTCCATTGTATCACTTCTCCTCTCTCAAATTCATGGTCTTCTTTTTTTTCTTTGATGATTGATAGTGTGACACACAGACACACATGTACACAGACTCCCAAGTACAGAAATACAACTGTCTCAGTTGCTATAATGTTACCTGTATATATATAACCTCAGAGCTGAGCACTTGGTATTGGATAACCAGTTGGGAAGCTTTTCCCTGTGGAATATCATTCCTCCATTCTCAGCATCCCCATCTGTTCTCTAGCTAAAATCTGGACACCCCTCCCCCACAAGCTTTCCCCCCTTCCATGTTAGCATGTCCATTGGTGTTTGCATTGTTCAGGTCTTGTTTAGTCAGCCACACTGATGAAACTTAATTGGGTGTGGCATCTCTGACATTTCTAGGAGACACCACCTTAAAGAAAACTTCCTGTTCCTCTGGCTCTTACATTTTTTCCAGCCCCTCTTTCACAGTGATCCCTGAGCGTTAGGTGTTGTAGGAATTGTGCTGTAGATCTATCAGTTGTGACTGGGTACCACAGGGTCTCCTCTCTGCTTTTGGGCAGCTGTGGTTTTCTGTAATTGTCCCCATCTGATGTAAAGCATCTCTTTGATGATGGGCAAAAACTATACTTAGCGGTGGGTCTAAGGATAAATATTTAGCCTGTAGTTAGAAATAGTGCTGGCTTGGTAAAAATGACAGTTGTAATTCTTCAAGATCCATGACTTTACTAGCTCCAAGCAGTTAGCTAGGTTTCCAGTAGAAGGAATGGTTCCTTTCTTGTTAAGTGGAAGCTAATGGTTACTGCCACGATGGTTGCTGTGTTTTATAGCCACCACAGCACAGTAGTACTTCCCTCCCTTGGAAGCTTGCATGGTGCCTTCTGGTCCTATAAAAGCTAGTCTTCAGAGAGAGAGAGAGAGAGAGAGAGAGAGAGAGACCTTCAGGTCAAGTCCAAGTCTTTAGAGAGTTGAGTAAGCCACAGAAGGTAGGTTTGTAGCTGCTAAAGGTTGGCCTATGAGGTTTAAGAGTAGACAATGTTTCTGTAACACTAAGCACAAGTCCAGACAGGAAGTAATGGTGTAGAAGCAGCAATAACCTGTGTAGACCACCCAAGCTCACTGATGTAAGTGGCTACAGTAGCAACAGATTTTCCATCTAGACAACAAACAAACAAACCTTATACAGGAAGATGCCGTCTAAGACTTTGAAAGGCAGGGGGCAGGAAGATGACTGAATGACTGGCTTAGAAACACCAAATAATCAATGGTGCTCTTGCTGTGGGAGGTAATGCAGCTTTTGTCTTGAAACTGAAACATTTACCTATGAGCATTTACCATTCTGAAAATCCTAGAGCCTTATACTCCATAAATGGATGAACAAACTCTAGGTGACAGTGCATCTGTTCAAAGTATGACTTATCTAATATATTAAATCCACCTAGATCTCAGAAACAAAAATTTGTTCAAAAATGTCACTCCCCCCAACCCTAGCAACACACCTGGTCACTCAAGAGTCATTCAGAACAACAAGATATGTTGAGATTGTTTTTGTGCTTGGGAGCACATCATCCATTCTGCAGCTCATGGATCAAGAAAGCATTTCAATGTTTAAGTCTCATTATTTAAGTGTAATTTGTGAATCTCTCATTGCTATAGGCATTGACTCATCCAAAGGCCCTGTACAAAATGAAAATCTTCGGAAACACTTTGGCAACCCTGGATGCCATTAAGGGCATGTTGAGGAGGAGGTCAACCTAGGGACATGAGAGGTCAGAATAATCTGAGCAGGATTTTGAAAAAAGTTGATTTCAGTCTTTTCGAGTGATTCCCAAGAGCTCAAAGCTTCAGTGAAAGGACAGATAGTGAAATAGAGAGAGCAAGAGTAAGAAGAGAAATCTGGAGATGTGACTATACCGTAGCAATTTTATTGTGAGAAATTAACAGATGAAGAGGGTGAATGATCCAAGGCTCATTCCTAGGATGATACTTGCTGCTAGGGAAGATGCTGCTAACATTGTTGAGATGGCAACAAAGAATGAATCCGACTGATAAGCGGCAGCAGATGTAATTCCATTTCATGAATGCTCTTATAGTAGATATTTATTTCATAAATAGCTTGGCCTATTACAAAGAAATTGCTCATAAACCCAAGTAAAGTGATATGTAAAATGTCGCTGCTGTCTTATCCTAAGAAATTTCTACAATCAGCTTCATCTACAGCAAGCTCCATCAGGATCAGTCAGCAACTATCAACATGGACCTTCTACTATGAAACTTATCTCCAACCCATTCAAGACTAACATAACGGTTAGAATATTTTTCTGCAATAAAGTATTTTAAAATTTAAGTTATGTGTGCTTTAGACATAATACGTTTTCCATAGACTGTAATAGAGAAACCAAGACACATGACTCACCTTGTTGAGGAACTTGCAGTCTGGTAGTGGTCTGGAACAAAGGCACACCTCCTCTCAGGCATGCCCGCTAACACATCATACAATGTAAATGCTATTTAAACACTAGTTATCATGCAGTATTTAGGGAATCAGGACAAGAAAACTGAGTCGTACATATTCAGTACAGACTCATTTACTTTGCAAATATTGTTCATCTGAATTTCATTGAGTGTGGGAATGCAGAACATGCAAGTATGGAAATTCCAGTTTCACAAGATGCCAAACTCAAAAAGAATTTCTTAACAAACCAAGTCTGGCAAATGTTCTCTCTCCAGTGGAGATTTTAGTATGCATTGCTATACAGAAAATTCTGCAAAGCCCTCCAATGAAGACACCACTTCATTGCTAGCATCATTTTTCAAATTTGGTTTTTTTTTTTTTTTGATGTTTTGTATTTTATAACACATACCCCGCATTACTGTTTTGTTTTAGAAGACTGTTGAAGTCTACATGTTAAATAATTTTAATTACACATATAAAATCATACATAAATTACTTAAAACAAATACACAGTGATGTCAGCATTTGAGCTGTGGGTATGGGTTTCTGAAGCTTATCAATTTGCAACTTGTCTTGAACCCTAAAATTATATAGATAAACATTGTTTAAACTATCTTTCTCCTTAAGGAATATAAATCATTCCTATTTGCTAGATGACTTGACTGCTC